CTCATTACGTATGGCCGGCACCAGGCAAGGGACACCTCTAGTTCTTGTGGCCACTCCTGCCTCAATCGAGGTTGCTGGATAAGCCGGAAAAGTTTGATGAGCCGCTTGCTCCACTGCCAGCTGAACCGCTCGCTCAGCCTCTTGTCGGATCCTCTCCTGATCCGCTAAGTTAAGGGCTCTCGCCTGCACCGGCTCATGTCTGCGTGGTTGGTTGCGGCGCTGAGCGTTGCTTGACATATCAGCTGAGTCCATATGCCTGCTATAGCTCGGGCTCCGGCTCGAGCGAGAGGTTGAATGGATTCTGTCTCGACTATAAGATTACGCATCCTGCTATGCCAGAGCTGTCTGAAGAAGCTCCCTCACCCTTCGTGTCTCGATTGCTGCCGGAGAATCTCCTTCCATCGGGAGAGCCGCCAAACGAGCCGACACAACAATGAGGTTTTCCAAAGGATTAGAGAAGTGACCCGGTGGTGTTGACGCATAATGAGGCAGAGCGGTATACATGCGAGGTGGCTCCATGGTCTGCGGCTGAATCGGTGCTCCGGGTGTCGTGATCCGATTTGCTTCCGGCGGGTTACTTGGGCCGGCCCCAGGTGTATGGAAAAGGTTCCTGGGATCGAGTGTCAGAGGTAGACGTGATTGAGTTTTCTGATGCCTCCTCCTCATGACCTCGTTTGACGCGTTTAGATCCATCGAGAGCCGGAAAGTCTCCGCTTGAAGCTGCTGAGCACGAGCATCCAAAGCCGCCTGCTCCGCAGCCAACCTGGCCTCTTTAGTTGCTTAGTTTTCCTTGGCCTGTGCCATCTCTTCGCGCACCCATGCCACCTCCACATCATTCTGGACCTTGTCCGCCGGTTCTACCACGGCAGTCAATAGGGCCGTCAGCTTATCCGTGAGGTCCATTAGTATCTGAGCCGGGGAGCGCGTGGTGTCTCCTGACTCGGCCGCTGCCGAACCGGTGGCCGTTGCTGCCGCAGCCGTGGAGATCTGCCCGGGCTGGGTGCCTGCCATGAAGACCCAGCTCGATTCGGCGGCTCAAAGGGGTCCGGAATACTGCTGCCATCGGAACATCCCCCCAAGCATGCCATCCTGCAGCTGATACAACGAGTCCATCTTGCCTGTGGATGACGTAGCGTCAGAACAGATGGCCGTCTCACCACCATCCACTGATCCTTCCGAATATTCACCTCCGTCGATGCAGCCCACAAAGACACGTTTTACGGCGGGTCAGGCCTAGGCGGGTCTCGCATGCTGAGCCGTCTCGATGATGTCGGTGCAGATCTCCGGCTCAGGGCCTGATTCGCCGATCCAGCCAATGAAGACATGAATCCCGCCGAAGGGGACCCAGTACCCGTACTCGATTGAGCCGGCCTCAGGGCCCCAGCCTTCGTCGTCGATGTAGAGCTTGCCGCGACGACTCTTGGTCATTCGGCCCACAGCGTATCCCTTGAGCCCTTCGAAGTTTCCCTTGAAGAACTCAAATCCACCATGCGCTGGCCCCATCGTGGGCGCCAACTGTCGTGGAATTGTCACGGCAGATGTCCTAGCAAAAGGACTTAGTCGTAGGGCCATCACAACTAGGAAGCTTAGATGGGTTAATCGGGACAAAGGACACGAGAGGTTTTATACTAGTTCGGCCCTTACGATGAAGGTAAAAGCCTACGGCTAGTTGTGTTGGAATTGCTGGGGTTTCGATCACCAAGAGGCTGATCCGCCGGCTTGGTTCTCGATCTCTTGTTTCTTGCCCTAAGCCGCCATCGGGTCGTCCCCTTATATACAGGGGCTGACGCCTGGCAGCCTACAGAGTCCCAGCCGGCTCATAGAGCGTGTCCGGCTCGGTGACTTCTTTTACATGCCTTTCGTCACAAGTCTTTCTTTACATACGACGGTTTACAATATTGGGCCTTAAGCCGCCTCTGGGCTTAGGCCTTCTATAGGCCTTAATAAACTATCACCTTGAATGTTTATTGGGCTTCCTTTGTGACCCGTCATTGGGACTGATCCGGCCCCTCCTGGGCGGGTCATAACTGATAGCTATATCCCCAACAGTTGGGTTTGGATGATTACCTCAAGATTATGAAGGAATGAAGCAATATTGGAATTTAAGGAGGTGTAATGCAAGAATATGGAACAATAGTAACTCAAAGGATGAGTTAAAGCTGTGCAAGTATTGAAGTGGGCCTATAACCCACAGGCCCATGAATTAATAAGGATCAAGTACTCCTTGGAAGAAGAAATTTGGAAGAAGTTGTTATTTGATCAACAAATGTTTCTTAGGGGGATACGAAAACTAGAGAGTTGCGATGAACGGTAGATGTTTTGTTCAGCTTGCAGAATCAATGGATATATCCGAACCCAGTTTGTCGACAAGACAATTTTTGCAATGCTTGTGAGGATGCCAAGTGTTAGAATACGTGATTCATGGTCTATGTATGAAGTAATGATTCAAGTATGGGATGGATTGGCCCCCATATCTGAGACTTCTATCATGAACTATCATATATTGATGGAGAATCAGAGAGCCCTGAAAACCTTAGAAGAGTGTCGACACGATAAGCCATAAAACCATAGAATGGTAGAACGATGAATCCATGCACAGGCAACCGTTGCCAATCGCAGGTTATAGTGAGATTAAACCCAGACCTGTTTCCTACAGAAACCATAAATTGTTGACCAACATGAGATTTCGACAGTGGTTTAGTATTGGCGACTAATCGGTTAGCTAAGAAGACCCAGTCTCAGAAGAACCTTGCCAAGATGAAAGGACACAAGATTTGAGAAAAGGTTATGCCCCAAATATAATGATTCAACACAAGAGGAGGCAAAGTATATTTATAAGCTTTAGCAATTGAGTTGTGAACTCACACCTGAAAACAAATACTTGCTCAAGAGAATTTATTAGTAGAAAATGTGATGGAGTGATTATAATGTGATTCCAGTAAAGTAATAGAAAACAACAATACTCAACAGTTGCCAAGTACACATTATTTTAAAGAGACTAACAATGATCAAAAGCGTAGGCATAAGGATGGATAGTGGGATGTTGCATGGATAGAACAAATATGTAATGGCGATAATATAGGGTGGTCGTAATCTAGCTCAAATTCATTAACTTATGTATACATGCATTTCATTTACAGTTGTATGCTTGCAATAGGAACTTGCACACCATATTTTGTCCCACCCTCCCGTTTCAGTGGGATACTAATGAACATTAAGCATAATTAAGGCACTCCTTTTACCAAGAACCAAAGAAAAGCATTGAACTTAATGAATGCATGTAATCCTCAAGTTACTATCATTCACTTTGATACCCTGATTATTTTCAGTTTGAGATCTCCAGTTCAGAACAACAACACATGCGTATAACTTGTACGTTGATCCAAACACATTCGGTTCAGATATGAAATCATGACACTTATGCCTTACTGGCAAGCATTAAGCATAGCAAAGTCATATCAACATCAATCTCATAACCTATATGACACCAGTCATCAAACCCAAACAATTACGACAATTATTACATAAATGATCTCATCCAATTCCCATCCGCCACATGTGGCTACAGAGAAACGACTCACACATGAGTGGGGAGATCATGACGGTGATGATGGAGAAGGTGTTATTGATGAATATGAGAAAGAGCCCCCTCTCTGGAGGCCAAATTAGCCTCAAGAAAGCCCTTCGGGAAGAAGTCAGAGAAGGCGGTGGCTCCGCCTCAAAGAAAAATGACCAAAAATTTGTGCCACGGTTTTAGGTTAGGGGGGGTATATGTGCGAAATAGGCATGAGAGGCGGTGCCTATGGGCCCCATGCGTTATGCCCTTGCCCATGTCGCATGGTGGCTGTGGGCCACCCCTGGCCAGCCCTTGTGGTTCCGCGGCTTATTTCTTCTATTACTTTCAAAAGAAATCTCAGATCTTTTCTGCATAGAAAATAGCAACATGGAAAATCTGCTGAAAACAACGTAAGTCATGTAGTTTATATTCTAGCTATTCAAGTTAGCGTACAAAACAAATATCAAAGTGTTTAGAAAGGTAAATACATTTGAGACGTTCCATTGGGCTCTTCGGCAAGCTCCATGGCAATGGTATTGGTTGCTCCATAGGCCGAGTGGATGGCAAGAGGGCTGCGGTGAGTGATCCTGGCTATGCTATCTCCCTTGGTAGCGGCTAAGACCTGATCCAGATTCGGAGTCCTCGGTCGTCGTAGTGGGTCTTCTGGTTTGAGTACCCTCGGCGAGGTGTGCGGGAGGAGCCAAGCAAGAGCTTTGAGCCTTGGGCTGGCGATGGCGATGCTTGCGAGTGTCGTGTCCCTCTTGGGGGACGCTGGTCTCCTCTTTTTGCCAACACTTAGGGTAAAAACCCTTGTCCGTTACGGCAGACGGTCTTTGCATCTTGACCCTTTTGGGGAATTCGCCGGTTAGTATGGGTACCTTTCGGTCACGGTAGCATGTTTGGGATGGTTGGGACCTCTAAGAAACAACGCCTTGGTTTCGACGGCTAGTGGTCTCGCCCGTGCCTTTCCTTTACACGTGACATATCCTCTCTTTGTCATTTCTATGTTGGTAGATTGACGCTCCTTGATCCGGAGCAAGAGGGCAGAGGGTATTCTTCGACAACAGTTCGATGGTGTTGGTGCGACAAAGTCCAATGATTTCTTCCGAGTGGCGCGTGTTCGCTCGTCGTGAGCGGTCTTGGTTGTGTCTTATGGTGGCCCGGCCTCTCATATGCTTTTTTTTTTGGCGGTGAGACGTCCAATAGTACCCTCGTGGTTATTGTTAACCTACTCGGTTTATTTTGCCGTGTTTTTCTTTGATTAATTTGTATGAGGATTTTCTCAACATCATGGTGTGACGTTTCTCTGCCTTCCTCCCCAACATCCTATATAACGAAATCTTCAACTCTCCATGAAGTCCAGCCGCGAAAACTCACGCGTACACGCACACACACAGGCGCACAGCATCCAAGGGAGCCGGCGATCGAGATTCGAGAAGCCAGCATGGGCAGTGCTGAGGAGGAGGATCTACCGGCAACGGACATGCCGCGGGTGGTGGGCGTCCTCTCCGCGCTCCTGGAGCGCGTAACGGAGCGCAACGACACGGCAGCGGGGCCGGGAGCGCTGGAACCGGCGTCACGGTCGGCGTTCCGGGCGATGACGAAGCCCGGCATCTCGGTGCGCGCGTACATGGCGCGCATCGCGCGGTTCGCGGGCTGCAGCCCCGCGTGCTTCGTGGTGGGTTACATCTACCTCGACCGCCTCCTGCGCCGCCGCCGCGCCCTCGCCGTGGACTCCTACAGCGTGCACCGCCTCCTCATCACCACCGTGCTCTCCGCCGTCAAGTTCATGGATGACATGTGAGTTCTCGCCTTAACCTCACCCCCTGATCATGAGTATGACTGGCGCCTGTATGGTCGAGTTCCTAGTTTGTTTCAAAGTTATGTGTTCTTGAGGCCAGTTGGTCCTCAGTCTGCTAATGCCCACCTTACAGCAGAGAATTGGATCAGAAACAGGTGAAATTCTCTAGACCAGGCTACTATTTAGGATGACAAAAATAATTTTAGGAAAACTCAATTGGTGTGTAGGCACTGTTCTTATTCCCTTGAATCAAGATGTAGTGCACAGATAGCTTGATTCTCATATAAATTTTGTTCTTTTGTGCTCAAGCTGGGCAGCTTTATCCGCTTGATTTTTTAGGCCAAGCATTATCGCACTCGCAAACTCTTATCTGCTGCTTCTTTACGTGCTTGACAAAAGATCACTGTCAACCAGTTAATAGCTGGGGACCTTAATCAATCTAGCATGTCAAAACAACTTTGGGATTGCAAAGGGGCTGATTAGTCTGCTTCTCTGCCGTTCAAGTTGGTGCTAAACTAACTACTAATCGTGTCAGTGTCGCATGTTCTATAGAGCCACTGTAGACAATTTGTTGAGTTGTTCACAGAAGGCTCTGATGGGATAAGATCGACATCTAATTCCGGAATCCAGATCACGTAGGTTGCATTGGCAGAGAACATTCTTTAAGAAGCAGAACCCAACAACCCCTTCCCTAAATCCCAACAAGTACAGGCAATCGAAGGCTGCACCCACTATCAAAAGAAAATACTATTCCTATCGATTTGCATTTGGAGAATTCGTTATGTCATCTGCCCATGCCAGCACACCAAACACCAAGCAGAGTAGAGTATTATCTGCTCATGAGGTGATGTATGTGGTGTAGGCAAAATTATACCTGCAAACAAAGAGGCAATGGTGGCTCCATCCACTGCTCTTTCCATCCATGTTCCAACCACATTTGCACCTTGGGGGACCCAAGCCAAAGATTTAAGATAGAGGCCCCCCTCCCTTTCAGCAACCTTTTCTCTCTTTTTGGAATTTAATTCACTGTCAAGTACTTGCCATATGATAGGACGGTGGCAACTTGGCCCTTGCTGATGGATGCACACTACCTGTTCCAACTCCCTCTTGCCAGGAGCATCCAGCCCTATCTGTCCTTTTCCTGGAATCATTACCCAATTGATGATTTGTTGCATATTTCTTCCTTGACAGAATCACTATGGTTATTCTTAGTTTGGACGATTTGACATTCTACAGATTTGACTGTTTTTAAGGTGGATTCTGAATAACTGATTTGGTGTGTGTGCCTCTTCGGCCAATTTGGTTTGCCCTGCACTGCACAAATGTTTGGTGGCCTACTGCCACTGCCATTCTTGATTTCTCAAAAAGAAAAAGACTTAACATGATTGGTCCATATGGTCTGAATCCTGATACAAGCACGTATATAACATGTTAACATATGGTGCCTTGCTGATATCCCAGATGCTACAACAACGCCTACTTCGCCAAGGTGGGCGGGATCAGCCTGCCGGAGATGAACTACCTCGAGGTGGACTTCCTCTTCGGCGTCGGCTTCGAGCTCAATGTGTCGCCAGAGACGTTCGGCCACTACTGTGCCATCCTCCAGTCCGAGATGCTCTGCCTGGAGCTGGAGCCGGAGCCCCTTCTTCCCCCTAATGCCGCCGCTCCAGGCAGCGCAATGCTTTGCTGCCTCTCTGAAGACGATGGCACTAGCGCCACCACCAGCAGTAGCAGCAGTACTCAGCAGCAGCAGCTGGCTGCGTAGGTGGTTAGAGGCGTATATATACAGTACACTGTGTGAGTGCGTACATGTACAGGGTCATGTTGCTCGTCCGAGCAGAGTACGCGAGCTTCCTCGGTGTGATGTGCTGCTCTTTGGTCCCTCTGGTATATAGCTTGTTTAGGTGACAGAGGTGGACACTGCAAGAGTGCAGACCGACTGTGAGGGAGTTGAATACAAGGTGTGTGATGTGCTCTAGTCCACAAGTGACGTGTATGTTGGATCATTTTTTTCTCTTTGCCACTACATGGGGTGGCATTTAGAATCTCTAGCCCTTCCTTCAAAAAGCTTTAACTCCTTAGAATTAGAAGAATTTCTAGCTCTTCCCCCAAAAAGCTTTATCTCTTTCAGATTTTTCTGTTTTAAGGAGTTAGACTCAGACCACGACCAACCATTTTCCTCCAAATTTTGAGAAGTTACACCTCAAAACACTCATTGTGCTCAAATTTGAGCAGCTCCCACCAATTCTGCTCAAATATTTATGGTTTTAGCCCCCCCCCCCCTCCCGCAAAAAAAAATTAAAAGGGTAATTTGATCTTTTGCCCTTAATTAATGAATTGTCTTGATTCAATCAGGTTGGCCTGCCGGACCATATGTTGGAGCTGAACAGCAACAATGCGATGCACAAATTCACCGATACGACAAATATGCACACTAAACAACCTCCTTCACATGTAGTGAACTTTGAGGGCAGCTTCCACCAACAAGTAAGTAGGGAAATAACACAAACAACATGCATATGTGACAAGATTTAACGTGGAAAAGCCTCCCCAACTTGAGGAGTAAACAACTATGGCTGTGGACCGACCAGTCCACAAACTTCACTTATGAGAATGGTAAGTACAAAGTCTTCTCTAGATCCTCCAGAGAGATTTGCAACACGCTAACCATGTTGCCAACCGGAAAGAGCAACAACAACCATAAGAGGCCAGATTTCAGCAAAGCAAAGTTTACACAGCTTCTGTCTCCTTCAGTGTTCGTAAACCGCTGAACCAAATAGCACCAAATTTGGCAGACAAGTAGACACATGAGTTCCTGAGATCCTCTCAAAATTTTAGCTCAATCGGACACAGTTTGCCGACCCAAACTATTCGTCTCCCAAAACTACTCTGTTCTGAAACTACAGTAGTCCGAACTGACAAACCACACTCAAATCTGATGCTCCACTGACCCAATACTCAAGCCAGCTAACTAGATCTGAGTACACAAAGTAAGGAATTGCCTCACCAAGTTTGAGTTCAATCCAATCATGTTTGAGCCTCCAATCACCAGCTTGAACACTATCTAATCAGATGCGGCAAATCTGGACAGAACCTCCATATCTTCTTCTTCCTCTCTTTCACAGGTTGTGTGTTTTTTGTGTGTTCTCTCACTCTCATGAAAATAACAGCCACCACACAGCAGGGGCGGAGTGCTAGTGTTTTCTTCTCTACTCCCCTCACTAGGAAGCACTCACAACCATTGGATGAAACAAAGATCAACGGGTGGCATGTGTTGGACTTATGGGCTGATGTTGGGCTACCAAAACACCTCCATGTGGAGGAACATAGCCCATCAAACTCCCCTTCCCAGCATCATGGAGGGTCTCACGGGGATGCCGGAACATGTCAATGAGAAAGAAGAACAAAACCGGTACCGAGGAGACCGGTATAGTAAGCATGTGCATGACTCAAGAGGATACCGATATATCTCACCTCGTGTTTTTTAAAGTATTGCGAAGCAAAGACAATAACACATGATAACCAAGGGTTCAGTCGAATGTCATTCGTGTACTCATAGAGATCGGTATGGACGTCCACGGTTCCGCCGCCGGTCATTGAATGAAAGGGGTTTTGTTCATGTCTATGTTTTACCGAAACTACATGGTCACAGGCTTAATGTAATCCAGATCTATTGAGTGTTAGTAGGACAGGAGTAATGAGAAAGTATTTATAAAATAGTTTCATTAATATTCGAAATAGTTTCGAGAGGAACCGGAAGCGTTTGGGGTCATCGGAAGGGTTTTGGGGTTTACTAGGTAATACCGTGTGACGCCCGGGTAATTAAGCTACAGTAATCCCCACTAATGATGCCACGTCACCTCGGTTACTGTGGATAAACTCGCGTTAGTTCGGAACCTAGTTCGAATTTCAAATTCAAAATCGAGCAAACAATAAAAGTTTTCAAATATTAAGATTTAAATGTTCGGAGTGAACCAAATAATACGTAGGTAATTATGGTGGAGAAACCAAACTTTGATAAAATGTTTATAGGCCCTAAAACAATTAAAACAATAGTGAAAACAATTATTTAAATACCTTTTGTAATTAATAAAATGTCAAACTAATTTATTTGAGGATTAGACTTTTTGTGACTATGGACTAAGTTGAAATACTAAATTAGATGCTACGTGTGTATTTTAATAAAACTAAAATAATAGGAAACAAAACTAAAACAGAAAAGGAAAATAAAATAAAAACAAAAACTTAAACAAAAGAGAAAAGGGAAGAACCCCCCCCCC